AGCAGCAAGTTGGGAGGGTGAGGACAGGTGATAGGGGTTTGGGTTAGGCAGGTGTATATGGATCAAGAGTTGGATTTTGGTCATCTTCAGTTTAAAGTAATATTAGGACATCCAGATGGAAGTGATCAACAGGTGGTTAGGTACATGTGAAAGAGGTCAAGTGAGGAAAAAGGAGATAAGGTTTGGAGAGGTATCTACGTAGAGGTGAGAACTGTGGAGACAGACCTCATTGCATTCCCTGTATTTCTATGTGGATGGTGGAAATGCCTCTAGGACGGAGTCACAAGGAGAAAGACCCAGTTATGGGCTGCAGGAAGATGAGTAATTTGCAAAATAAACAGGGGAACAGGTTCCTAAGTGTCTTAGTCCATTTGGGCTACTCTAACAAAATACCATAGAGTAGGTGGCTTATACATAACAGAAATGTATTTCTCACATTCTGGAGGCTAGGAAGTCTAAGACCAAGGTGCCAGCATGGTCAGATTCTGGTGAGGGCCCTCTCCTGGGTTGCAAACTGCTAACATCTTGCTGTTTCCCTACATGGTGAAAGGGAATATACAGACTCCCTTAGGCTTCTTTCATAAGGTCACTAATCCCATATAGGAGGGCTCTGCCCCCGTGACCTAATCACTTCCCAAAGTCCTCATCCCTTAATGCTATCATCTTAGGGGTTAGGATTTCAACATATGAATTGTGGGGGTACATAAAGTTTCAGACCATAACACTAAGAGAAGCATCAGTTTCAGGAAGATGAGGAGTGGATAGAGCACTGTTCACACATTAAAATTGTATTTCTAAAAGACAATTTAATTACAAAAGAAAAATGCTCATCATTTATCAGTTATATACAAAATTATGTATATATTTATATGTAGCATCTCAATTATGTATACACAAATACATAGAGAAATTATAACAATGTTTATAATGTTTACCTCTAGGTGGTGGGATTTGGGAGAATCTTAACTAAAAAAGGTGTTATTATTTAATCTTAAGAAGAAAGATTTCATCCATTTTCATACCTGGATCTTTCATATTTTTTACAATGAATATACTTTATTCTTTATTCTTTTTTTTTTCTTTGAGACAGGATCTCACTCTGTCACCCAGCCTGGAGTGCAGTGGCATAATACAGCTCATTGCAGTTTTGACCTCCCAGGCTCAGGTGATCCCCTTGCCTCAGCCCCCTAGGGGGGCTACATTTTTTTTGTACTTTTTGTAGGGATGGAGTTTTGCTATGTTGCCCAGCCTGGTCTCAAACTCCTGGGGTCACCATTTGTGAACAAGTGATCCACTGGCCCTGGCCTCCCAAAGTTTTGGGATTACAGGTATAAGCCACTGTGCCTGGCCACACTTTATTCTTATTATCAGAAAAAAAATTAATTTCTTGGTATCAGAAGAAGAGGAATAAATGCCTTATGGGCTACATCATCTCACTTAATGTGCCCACAATCATCTGATAGGCAAGCAATAGGGTTCCCTATTTACCTCTTGAGGTAAATGTGGATGAGGAAATGGAAGCTGAGAAAGATGAGGAGCTCATCTCACTCACACCATAATAATGCCATGGTTCTAATCTGGTGATGAAGACACAAACTACATATATACAATCAGTCAGTTAAAATGGTATTTCAAAGAAGGGATAGAGACTTGGGGATGTGTTTAGCTGTGCAAACTACACATTAAGAAAAGACATTTGGCAAGAAGGGAGTTACTTGTGGCCTGCAAGAGTAGAAATACCATGTGACAGCAAGAATAACAAGCACTTTCCTCTTGATGAGAGATGACTGTGGTGGGGAGATGGAGGCAGGCATAGAGAACTTGATAAGAATCAGGCAGTTGGCTCACGCCTGTAATCCCAGCACTTTGGGAGGCCAAGGCGGGTGGATCACGAGTTCAGGAGATTGAGACCATCCTGGTCAACATGGTGAAACCCCATCTCTACTAAAAATACAAAAATTAGCTGGGTGTGGTGGCACGCACCTATAATCCCAGCTACTCGGGAGGCTGAGGTAGAGATTGCAGTGAGCCGAAATCATGCCACTGCACTTTAGCCTGGTGACAGAGCAAGACTCCGTCTCAAAAAAAAGAAAAAAAAAAAAAAGAATCAGACAGTTCATCAGTGAAGATAGGCCAGGTTATGCTGGGAGTAACGACCCCCAATCTCAGTGGGGAAGCACAAGGTTTATATTTTGCCTATGTGATGTGGGTTTGCCCTGGGCTTCATTGTGGTCACTCAGGGACTCAGGCTGAAGATGATGTCGTCTGAAACTTGCTTCCACGGTCACCATGGCAGGGAAAGGGTAACGCTGGAGTTGAACGCTACCATTTAAATGTTTCTACCTGGAAATGACAGTGGTTTTAATTGGCCAAAGCCACAGCCAATTCGAAGGGTGAGGGGAAATGTAGTCCTACCACGTGCCTGTAAGGAAGGGAACTAGGATATTGTGAAACCACCCTAAAAATCACCACACCAGGGGACATATTTTTTGCTTTCTAAGGCTCTTGTTTTGGCAGCAAAGGAAACAGCTTTCAGGTCTCTAGAATATTAAACACAGGAAGAACTCATGGGCATCATCTGGGAAACTGAGATTCCAAGGGTATAATGATTGTTTGCAAAAAGTCACAGAGAGAAACAGTGGTCATGCTAAGACTAGAAGGATGTGTTCTGAGGCCAGTGCCCCACATGGTCCTCGGTGTACAATACTCACTGTCCAGGGCCACACAAATTAGGAAGAGTGAGGAGCTTGGCCTGGGAACTTATTTTAAAACTCTGCTTCCAAGGTGTTGAGAGGAGCAGTTTCGTCTCATCTGATACTAGCATTTACTGATGTTTGAGGCCAGTGGCATCTCCATCACTTACAAATCTGGATTATGTCTCCCAGGTGCCTAGGTTTCTCCATGTGCTTGTTGCTGAAATGGCTGGAGCAGCCTGAAATCATTAGGTTAAAGTGTCATTTAAAGTTGGGTTAATGTAGAACTAGCTAGTATTTGCCCTAAGTGGTCCGGTGGCAGGTGATCTAAGACTTGGAAACCCAGCTGAATAACTCCGTGTCTACAGATTGCAAATAGGTCAGCTTCGATGAATGAGAGAGATTGAACAAATGAGAATAATGGAGACCTCCCACTCCTCTGAAATCAATATTATGTTTGAAATAAAGAACGATTTATGACAGAAAAGGAATCATGAGGACACAGACCATCTCATATGGAGGGTCAGGCAGACTATCTGAATTGGCATATGGAATGATCATAATTCTGAGTTTTTGGGGGTCACTGCTATTGGGTGTATCAAAAATAGAAAAAGGGAGGAAAACTTAAAACTCTGCTTTAACTTCATCACATATTGCTTTGGGTTTCTAGTCATATTTGTGATGTTCTGTGAACTTATATGAGAAACTAAAAAGTTTATTAATACTTTTTAAACTATAGATTTGTAAAGTTAAAGAGTAATGCAATTTACTCTACAGTTAAATAGGGGTGGTTTTGTCACTTTCATAGGTCGTTCTTTATATTCCTTGCTTTTTAAACTCTTTTTGGTTTTGGCTTTGATTTAAATTACATGATCATTAAATTTCCTCTTTTTATCAGGGCAAAATGAAGGGTTTTCTAAATCTTAAAAGCATGTAATTTACCTTGGATGTAAACTATAATGCTTATTCTGAATAAATTCCATGTAAAACTGCAGAAATTGTGTAGAAAGTCTTTATGAATTGGAACTTAACATGTCATTGACACATTTTGAAGGGCGTTCTGTTGACTTTAGTGATGGATGAGCCTATTCTGCCAAGTTCAGCTGGAAGGAGTGTTTTAGAAAGCCAAACATCAACTCGAATCTAGAAACTTCCTGGAATCATGATTTTGGATCAGCAGGGTGGACACAGCCTACATCTGTGCAAGGGATGGCATTTTACCAGCTTGCTCCACGGAAGTCTTTGGAACGGAACCATAAACACCAGCCTTTTTTGTTGTGCGTTGCCTTTTAAAAGTCCCCAAAGGTTTGGGGAGGATAAGGCTTTGCCTCAGGGCTCCCGGGTCTCATTTTTTGGGACCTGGCTGAAAACCCTGGATATTTGATAGTCTGGCTTATTTCTATGGTGTATTAGCACCCTATAAAAGTTACATGTCATTTATTTCAAGTTTAGAACCCTCTCAAACTTCAGGGGCAAACCAAACTTGAACCTTTTGTGGCTGGAATTCTGTTTACCTTTGGCCAAACCTTGCTTCCTGAATGTAAGGCTGGGAAGTGAGGTGAGAGGGACTCCTGAGGCTCCCTGGACATCGAATAGCTTTTACCAAACACGGCTTTGATAGGTTAAAATGTGACCGAATTTGAAACACGTAGATTCTTTCTGTCAAAGTACTCTGGGGCCTACACACAGAAGTATATTGTGCTGGGCAAAATGCCTTTTGAGTGTTGCCTTCCTTCAGTGGTGAGGAAGTATCTGAGACTTTTGCCAAACAGAGGTTGAAATTGGGTCAAGCCATTCACCCCCAATTCTAATAAATACATTAAGTAGTTTTTATAAAGGTTATTGGGCAATTCAATTGAACAAGGACCTTGGAGAAATTTGGACATTTCTTGTGTTTGAAACATTTTTTTAAGGATTTTTGTTCTGTTTTGTTTTAATGTCTTATTTCCATAGGTTTTGGGGGAACAGGTGATATTTAGTTACATGAGTAAGCTCTTTAGTGGTGATTTGTGAGATTTTGGTGCAACCATCACCCGAGCAGTATACACTGAACCCAATGTGTAGTCTTTTATTACTCAACCTCCTCCCAGCTTTTCCCCACAACTCCCCAGAGTCCATTATGTCATTCTTAGGTGTTTGCATCCTCATAGTTTCAATGACAAAGAAAGAAAGGGCTCCAAGACACAGCGGCCCAGTTCGAGGATCCCTATGATTCCTTTGTGTTTATTGTTGGAACACAGGCTAGCAAGGGATGTCTTGTGCTTGAATGAAGGAGAAATAACACACAGAGCTCCATGTGCCTTTCAGATAGAGGAACTGATGAATGCACTGGAGAAGACCAGACAGGAACTGGATGCCACCAAAGCACGCCTCGCCTCCACACAGCAGTCCCTGGCCGAAAAAGAAGCGCACTTGGCCAACCTCCGGATTGAGAGGAGGAAACAGCTGGAGGAGATCCTGGAGATGAAGTGAGCACCCATTGTTGCTTTTGTAGCCTCTCTCTTCTAGCCTCTCTTGAGAGTGGGAAAGGGGAAGGGCTAGAGAAGATGAAGAAAGAGCTCAGAGAAAGAATAATTTAGCTCACACTTGCCTGGTCATTTCTGAAAGTACGTTTCTTATGTTTTAATTGTAACTTTGGTGTCTCCGTTTGCACATTTCTCACATCTGTCACTGAAAAAAATATAGATCCAGCTCTAGATTTTGGGTGTCTGTGTTTTGTGGATGGTGCTGGGATTCATAGATCTGTTGGAAAGGTCTGAGCCAGCCAAGAGACGGAGGCCTCGTTAAGCACAATGGTAATTTGAGCGCTGCTCAGAGTAAACTGGAAACTTTTCCGAGGAGGTATTTCCTAATTGTGACTATAACTTTGCTAATTATATTCTTTTCACTTGTGTACAATGCCTGGTTTGTGTTGGCTCTTGCAGAGTCTCAAGGTTGGCACCTCTTTGTTTAGAAAGTGAAACTCTGATTTGCTGGGCTTATAAAAATAGGTTGGAAATCCCACATCCCTGCCACACCCCACCCGGGTGGGGGCTTGGGAAGCTAAATCAGGGAGATTGGATTGGAACTAATCACTTCCTTTGATTTAATCAATGACGTGGGGCTGAGTGCTGGGAAATGGTTGTCCTGTGGTCCTGTGACACACCCACCTACACTTCACTCTTATTTCATTCTCACAATGAAAGAGCATCATCACAGAACAACATAGAAAAGAAAATCACTGAGAGATTTTCGTAAATATCAATTGCAATAGGTCTGTTTGTAAAGAACTAGTCAACAAGGAGCATCTCTGTGTTTTTAAATGAAATAATCACTAAGTTATAATTTAAATCGAACTTCCCTCCACAATAAGGGGAAACATACATAATTACGGCATCTTAAGCCTGTAACACAGACTTTGAAATTGGTGGCTAGGTATGGAAGTGACCTTATGGTGACCCAGCAAGCCTTACATATGGTTAGCATTAAACGCAGAAAGCTTAAATCATGGAAATCATGGAATGAAATAGTTTGAAGGATTTAATAATGAGGACAAAACATTTATTCCTCATCAACTACCTCAGTTTCTCCAAGACCAAAGAATAAGTAGGGTTTTTTTTCCACATATAAACTAGCATTTTTTCTAATCAAATATAATATGATAAAAACAGGTATTATTATATTCAGTTCAGAGTTGAGGGAGCTGAGACTCAGAGAGATTCACATAATTTGCTTAAGGCCATCTGGCCACGACAAAACCAGTTTTCTATCTCAAGCTCCATTTCTGCTACCTAATTTTCTCGAGGAATTTATGTGAACTCATTAAGACTGGAACTTCTGTCTGTTTGAGTCACTGTAGTCATCATGCTGATGAGAGCAGTGCCAGGCACATGGGAGGTGCTCAGTGATTGTTTGCTGCCCACAACAGTGTCTTGAATATGATAGGTGCTCAGTGGTTTGTTGAGTGAGTGACTAGATTGAATACTGGAGACTGAATTTGATGTAGCTAAGAAGAAAAGTATTTTAAGTATCTGTGATATTATCACCTTCATCAATAATTTATTAACACTGTTGAAAGGATACATGTTTATAAGCACAGCATACATAAAATCTTGATGTTTGCCAATATTTACTGTTGTTTAAAAGATTAACTTATGTAATTAGTTGTGGAATATGTATATGAATTTAAATGACACCCAGAAAAATTATTACTGTCAATATGTGTATAAACACTCAGCTGAGAAAGACCAAAAGTATAGTGTAGTATTAAATAATTGAAGAAACAGCGATATGCAAAATGGAAAGTCCATTTATGAATATATTCATGTTAGAATCTAAAGTTATGTCTTTTTATAGTGTCTATATACAAAGTTCATAAAATGGTTTATTTGAGAAAGTTTCCATCTTGCTGATATTAACCAATAAAACTTCATTTCCTAGAAAACAAGGTGGAATGTTATGATTTATACAAGAATAGAGAAAGATTTTAGAATTACATATACTTCCACCTTCATTTTGGATTTGATTTTTGAATGGAGCGTAAAAATACTGAAATTCAACTTATGACTTAGTTTTACCCTTGAAAAATTTAGCATATTTTTTTTTGCATTTTACTTTCCATAATAAATGTAGTATAGAATAAAAATAATTTATTAACAATAGCCAATGCTAGTATTAGTGCATTAGCAATATGAGTCCATTGATTCAATCTGCCTGTATTCTTTTCTGTTCACCTGTCTCTCCTCTTCCTCTCTGTGTGTTATGTGTCAAGTCCAGCCTAGTTTTTCTCCTTGTTTTCCAACTGTTCTCAAGTTAACTCTCCATCTCCTGAAGTGATTTATTATGCCATTATAAAGAAATTTTAATTACTTCCTGTTTATAAAAAGAGCATATACTTTCAACATTTTGAGAGAACAAGTAATGGAGAAGTATACTGGTTTGTGAGTCATCAGACCCCGGGTGGAATCCTGTTGCTTCCACCTGGTGGCTGTGTGACTCGGGAGAAATACCCTTAACCTCACGAAACTTCCAGTTTCCTCCCGTAATGACTTGAATGGGAGTGGTTGTGAGGAGGGGTTCTCAGCAGAGGGCTTGGCACACAGAAAATGATATATGTATGCAAATAGCACTATCAGCCAATGAAAATATGTCCTTTGTTTAGTATACTTTGTGAAGAGTATCATTTATCTAAAATTTGGATTTATTTTTCTAAAACATATAAACTTTTTCCATGTGTATGTTTTCCCACTTAACTTCATGGTGTCAGATAGCACCTAACTAAGACCTCTTTTGGTGAATTGCCACATTATTGCTGAAGTGCTTAATCTGCTGCCACTGCAAAATAAATACAAAATTCCTGTGTTAATTCCTTTGGTGAAAGTAACAAAGCCCTGCTTCATTAAACCTGATATGGACCCTATTCACTATTTAACTGGTCTAGAAGCCCAACCTGTGGGCTTCTGCCCTGGGACTATGGGAGGACTCAGATACAGGGCAAGTATATTGACTGAGATCCTCAACTAGAGGCACCAGCCTCTTGGGCTGTTCAAATTCGCCACTGGTTTGTTCAATCACAGTGTTTAAGCTGAATTGACAGACGGGTTACTTGACATTGATTGAGTCCATGTAAGTTCGTGGGAACAGTCAGATGGGTATTATCATTGTTGGTGAGTTGTTAGCATCTGTGCCAAGCATTGTTGGTTTTTCATTCAACCGGCACCCATCATCTTTAGACAGGCATCTTTATGTCAGGTCTACCCAGTTTCCAAACCCTGGTGGGAAGGGAGAGGCTGTGTGGTATTAGAGGGAAGAGGGGTGAGGCTGTGAGTCAAGAGAAAGGAACTGTGATCTCATAGCTCATTTCTGTCTCACCCCATAACATTAAACATCACTCTCTGGTTGCCTCAGTTTTCTCTTCAGTAAAATGAAGGTGGTAATACCTGCCCTGCTTACTCTATAGAACTCTTATAGGGATAAGATTTCTTTTTTTAAGTAGCAAACTAAAATTAGTATAAACCAGCACATGTGAAAGTGCTTTGAAACCTAAAAGGGGCTTTTGAAATAAGAGGTGGTATCTGTTAAATTCATTGCAAACCAAATGGCACAGAGTTTTAGAATGGGAAAGCAACTGGGTCCAACCTCCCAGCCTGCACAAGCCAGTCTCCCATTCACAGGATTACTCATAAGGAATTCACCAGGCCCTGGTGAACACCATTCCCATGGCAGGCCATGGGCTCACAAGGTGGTGGTTCATGTTTCATGGCTTTTACAGGTAGCTCATTTGTCCTTATGTTGAACTGAAATGTCTTTCCATTTGTCTTGGTTTTTGTTCCAGAGCTATACAGAATTTACCTGAACCCCATCCAAAGATAGATATTTGTTTAGATATTTGTTGGGTGATATTGTTCATTTTAAAGGAAAAAAGAGGCGGTATAGAGAAACAACATGAAAAAATTACTCATGATCTTAATGTGGAGAGAGAGACACTGATGGCATTTTGGTGTATACTTTTGCAAATGCTCCCTATTTTATAAAGAAAATTGGACTGTACTTGCATGTTTTGCAAGTCCCTCTTCTTTTGTGAATGTGAACAACCTTCTATGTTGCAAACATAGGATTGTATTATTTTTAATTACTCAATATACTGTCATATAGGTTTACATCATTATTGGGCATCTGTCTCAGTTCCAGTGTTTTGATAAGCATTCTGCTATATAATTTTATTTTATTAACATATTTCTAAATACCTGTGGATTGTCAGGCTGTTGCGAGAAATAATACAAAGAGGGTTCTCATATCCTTCAACCATTTCCTTAATTGGTAACATCTTGCATAACTAAAGTACAATATCACATGAGGAAATTGATATTGGTACAATCTACCGGCCTTCTTCAAATTTCTCCAGTTTTACGTATCTATTAACATTATTCCAATTTCTCCAGTTTTACATGCACTTGTGTGTTTGTGTGTGTTTAATTATATCCACTTTTATCATATGTGTTTTGTGTCACCACCACCACCGTCAAGATGCAGAACTGTTTAATCATCACAGTGACCTCTGGTACTATCTTTTTATAGTTACATCCACTCTTAGGCTGTATAATTTTTACCCAAAGTTTTGTTTTGTGTTATATCATTTTTGGGACATGTGCCACACTGACCTACATTTTCTCCTACCATTCTTCTTTAGCTTTTCTTATTTTAAATGCCGACTGGATTTAGAGTGAGTAAATATTGCCTGATTCTTCCATTGTAAAGATTTCTCATGATATGATTTTATTTTATTTACAGTGGAATTTTCTTTTAATATTGGATATTGAGAATCTGTCACATAGTAGGCACTCAAAAAGTATTTGAAAAATGAAAGGATGAATTAGTTAAAAAATGTATAAATATTCACTGCTGATCTACCATGTGCTAGGTACTGTTTTAGATGAACAAACGTGACCTTGTTGAGCTTGCATTTTAGTAAAATGAGTGAAGGAAATGA